AATATCAAACTAACTCCTCTTAAAACCAATAGATATCACATAGGAATCAAAGTTTTTATACCACTATTATGGAGACTATTTTTGCCCATAAAGAGGCTTTTTTTTTTTTTGGAAAAAAAACACACATAATGAAGTCCAGGCTTACTTCAAATCTTTCGGTTGATTCATAAAAATCTTTTCATCAAGATCACCAAGCAAAAAGGAATTTTGACATCAAGTAGTTCAAGTTCCCAATCATAGTAAGCAACAAAGGCAAGCATGACTCTAATAATGGTGTACTGAACAATTGACGAAAAGATCTCAACATTATCCATCCCTTCTTTATGTGTGTAATTCTTTGCTACGAATCTAGCTTTATATCTCATGGGCTCACTCTCAGTAGTTCCCTCTTTTATGTTATAGGCAAACTTGCATCCCACTATGGAGTTATCCTTAGGTCTAGGAATTAATTAATCCCAAGTTTGATTTTTAATAAAAGAACCCATCTCCTCTCATAACACTTTGCCATTTCTCACTTTTTTCACTCTTCATGGCCTCCTCATAGGTATTTGATTCCGTATAGACTAGTTCTTGTTAACTAGTAAAAGCTGTGGTATAGTCAGACATCCTCAAGGACATCGTAAATACAATTTTTAACTAATCCTGAAGAAGACATGCCCCTGTTCAACGATCCTTCCCATAAAAGAGGAATTATTCAATGTGTAGATTATGCTGAGTTCGCAATTTGGATATAAAAATTAAACTCCATGCATTGATAGAAAAAAAGAAGATGGATAAGTTAGAAAAAAGGAAGATAAAAGGTCGGTTGAACTTGTGTAAGTAATAAACAACAGTATTTAAAGGACAATTATTAAAGATAAACACTGAAGGAAATCAAAAATGAAAAACATCTAGAATACTTTTCAAAAGATCTTCTGTACTTTTAATTTTAAGTTATACACCTGTAAAGTTATAGTTTGTACTTTTAAGTCATAAGACATACGCCTATAAAAATAAACAGTTTTGTTTACTTTTACAAAGAACGCCTGTTAGAAATTGATATGATGTACCAACATTTTTTTACTTTATAAATATCAATGTATATATACAATAGAACACATGACAAATAACACACCACATGACGTAGCACTTATACTTAAAAAACACTCAACTCTTTTAAATTTGTAGAGAAAAAATTCTTCAAATAAAAGTAAGTTCTTTCTGCATTTTATTTTGGACCAAGGCCTAAAAGAGATCAACAACTTTTAGGGTTAGGAATAATTGTGAAATAAAAGGAGAAAAATAAAGAATGGCTATAAATTACAAAAGACTAAATTATAATACTGTTGAAGATGAATATAAGATACCATACAAAAATATGATAACAAATAAAATAAAAAAAGGTAAATTATTTTCAAATTTTAATTATNTTGAAGATGAATATAAGATACCATACAAAAATATGATAACAAATAAAATAAAAAAAGGTAAATTATTTTCAAATTTTAATTATAAATCTGGATTTTGACAAATAAAAATGGCAAAGGATTATAATCCATTTCAAGTGGTTTAGTCATGCCCTTTGAATTAAAGAACATGCCCTCTATTTGTCAAAGAAAGTTAGATTATATATAGATGATATTTCAGTACATGATAAAAACCAAATAGAACATATGAAATATTTAGAAATAGTTTTAAATATATTCTTTGAAAATAAATTAATTATAAATAAAAAACGGAAATAAATAAACGAAGAATTGAATTTTAAGAATAATCTTTGAAGAAGGAAATATTCAACTTCAACCACACATAATACAGATAATTTCACTGTTTCCAGATAAAATTGAAGAAACGGAAAAATTAAAAGCTCGTTTAGGAATATTAAATTATGCTGGACATTTTATTGAAGACTTAATAAAGAAAGTAGAACATTTGTATGGTGAGCTATCAAGCAAAGGACAAAAATAATTTAATCAAACACATATAGAGTCGGTAAAATAGATAAAAGAAGTAAAAGATTTACTACCTCTAGAATTACCTTTAAACAGTGAACATAAAATAATAGAAATTGATGGATATCAGTTAGAATGGGGAGAAATTTTACATTCTAAACCTAGTGATACAAAAGAAGAAGAAATTTGTTAGATATACTAGTGAAAAATATAAGATAAAAAGAAAATACGTAACTAGTTTAGATTATGAGATAATAGATATTGTACATAGTATAGAAAGTTTTAAATTACTTTTATATATTGAATTTACTATTAGAACATATTGTGAAGCCATGGTAAAATTTATTGAAAAGATAATTTGTGATAAAATAGGCATAAAAGATGGTTAAAACTATATGAAATATTAAATAGCTATGAAGTAAATATAGAGCACATAGATGGGAAAAATAACAATCGAGCAGATAATTTGAATAGACAAGTAATTAATTTTCTAACCATTTACTTTCATATTACAAATGGGTTAGTTGATGATAAACTTTGGGAATGTCATTCTAAGAGTAGATCTACAAAGATCTAATTTTCTATTTAGAAAAAAATAATCTGTAAAGACCTTCAAAAAGATAGCGTTGTCTATTAGATAATCTCTGGATGGTATTTGACTATAAATAGAAACTAAACAGCATTAATGCTTCAGCTAATCATTTTAGATAGATTGATAATCAATTAGAAAGTCAAAATTTCAGTGTCTTTACAATACTCAAAGGTCATAAAAGCATGGCACATATAATTACTAGTCAGAGGTATTACACCAAATAGAAATATTTCCAGATCCCTATTTAAAAGATTTTATACTCTAGAAGAAGCGTTAAATTTGTGTAGACAGGTGATAGGAATTAATTTTCATACATATGACAGAATTAGACAGACTATGCAAACATCTACTTCTCAATCATCATCTTCATCTATACAACTCTGTGATACTTGCGAAACTATAAGTAAGGTCGTTAAAAATTTAAATCGTCAAAAGCATACGTTAGAGGAAATACTAGAAATTTTAGAAGATCAAATCTTTTCATCTCAACAGACTATTAATAAATATTAAAATAAGATTATTCATTTACAAGAAAATTTAAAAAGATTAGTCCTACAGATATTACAAAAAAAACATATTTAAAAGACATTAATAATTTCCACTAGTAGAAATTATTTCGTTAAAATAAAAAACATATTTCTAAAGACATTAATATTTCCACTAGTAGAAATTATTTCGTTAAAATAAAAAGACTTATTGAACTAATAAATTTTACAGCTGTAGGGTAAGCAAAATTTTTATATGAATTAGAACAAAAAAATTGACAATTGTGTCATTATTGTTCGAAAATATATAAAGAAATCAGGCATACAAGAAATAATTGATTTCTCCCAAACAATAAGCTATTAGCACAATGAGAAATGATATTTTCTTCAACATGGCCCTAGATATAAAATATCTATTAAAAATCCGGCATACCTTAAACATAATTATCCTACAATTTCATTTGATTATACAATTTTTGAAGAAGACGACATTTTTTATGCAACATTACAGTATAATATGATTGATATTATATATGCTTTAAATAGATCAATTTTTTCACCGAAACATAAATAGAGTTTTGATTGGTTAAAAGTTCATCCCTTAATGATCCAATTTATTTCTAGGCCTACTCTTGTAAATAATGCTATTGTAATACCAACCTATCATAATATCCAAATTTATGAAGGATCCAAAAAATTTAAACCCTCCTCAAAGACTGACATAAACGAAAAAATTAGACATATTGATTATAAAAGACGAATTTCAGAAACGATAGCCATGATGACAATACAAAATACAGACTTGTTGCATGTGGCACAATGGAATAGTGGAGCAATTTTCTGTCCAAAGTTTCTTGCCACAAAAATCAAGATTGGAAGATCAATTTCGGTACCAAACATTCAATAGGGAAAAAAATACATATAGTGAACTATTAAAAAATCAATTAGATACAGGAGAAGAATACATATCGGATGGAAATAATAATGGTGAAACGGATATTGATCTAGAAGAAACCTACATCAAGATGATGAAAAGATGAAACTCTGTGCAATAATTCAAAGACAATAATCAATGAAATACAGAAGCAAATGCAGTAAACGATATTTAAAGGACAATTATTAAAGACAAACAGTGAATGAAGTCCAAAAAGGAGAACGTGCAAAGAAATTTTTGAAAAGATCATTTATACTTTAAATGTTAAAGTCATATACCTGTAAAGTTATAGTTTGTACTTCTAAATCATAAGATTTGCACCTATAAAGATATACAATTTTGTTTACTTTTTCAAAGAACGTCTATAAAAAATAAATGTGGTGAACCAGCATCTATTTCCTTATAAATATCAATATATGTATACAAAAGAAGACACGACAAAAAACACAACACACGATGTAGCACTAATATTCAAAAAACAGTCAAGTTGAATGAATCACACTAATTTTCCAATTAAGAATGAAGCAACCAAGTAGATAGTGAAGAAACAAATTTGCAAATGAGATTAAACATTGAGAACCTTTAAGGTCATCTACTCATAAAAGAATAATGCTATCCACCACAAGCGAGATTAGAATACCGGTTTATGTAACATCATGTGATAGGTTTAATTAAAGGTGAAATTGTATGATTCATTTAATTGTATATTTCATTTAATGACATTTAGTATCATCTAAATTGGTGTTGTAACGCCATTACTCCCCATAAAAATATAAAGGTATCAGGTGAATTATACTCCTAGAGGCGTTAGCAAAATGTCTCCCATAACTTTGAGAAAATGAAAAACCAACAATATTTCCGTGCCGTGTAGTATCACTGGCCTTCTTACATATATAAAGCATAACTATGGAATAATTCTGAATCCTTCCCAGTCATCTGCACAACTCTTAACGAAAAGCCAAAAAAAAAAAAAAAAAAAAAAAAAAAAAAAAAAAAAAAAAAAAAAAAAAAAAAAAAAAAAAAAAAAAAAGGAAAAAAAAAAATTTTTTTTTATAATTTCTTCATCACCAATATATTGTCACCACAAACATCATTTCGCAACTGATATCAAAATAGGAGGACTCAACTCACATAATTTACAATAACCATGATTTTATTACTATACAAACATCCTCCCACCAGAACTGTTTATAAACAGAAGAAATGTAACAGCATTGGCATCATGATATCAGAAAACGCCGTTTACTGAGATGGCCATTTATGATCATAACACTGGAGAAATTCGTAGCTCCTACTTTCTTGATTGGAGAGCCTCTTGAGTTCATCATAATTGGAGGAAGATTTGTCTTGTATTGAAGATATTGTATTTCCAGATTCAGAACCTAGCAGGAAGTGTGCTTTTGTTGAAATGGAATCGCCAGAGCTGTTGCCTTTCTCACAAGTAGCATTATTTGCAGCAGTATCAGCCTTCTTCGTGTTCGCAAATCGCCCCCCACAACCTCTGGCTCTCCTCATGGCATGTAAGTGCCGAGATTCATGCTGATAAGGCTGGTAAACAAAAGAGCAGAACTCTAAAGCTGTGAAGACAACTGATATAAATTAGATAGACTAGCTCAAAACTAGATCATGTTATGATACCATGAATTCGATCATTGGACATAAGAAATAACCTTTTGCATTTACATTCTAGGATATATAGATATTCTTCCTGATACTAAAGTGTCACCATTGAAATAAACATCATTTTCAACAATTTTTCAACCACTTAAAAAGAAGATAGCATTAAAATACCACTTGTTATATATGAAGAAACAACAATCCTATACGTATAAACATTGACATATTAACATTTAGCAATCAAACATGACCAACAACCNCTTGTTATATATGAAGAAACAACAATCCTATACGTATAAACATTGACATATTAACATTTAGCAATCAAACATGACCAACAACCCATGGGTAAAACGAACCTTTCTAGCTCTTGTCACTTTATTCTGCAGTTCAGCCTTTGCCCGCCATTGTCTTCTCCTCATAATCCCATGATACTGTTTGGCATTCACATAAACAGGCTCCTCTGACATTACAATGGGCAAAACCATTCTATCGTGATGCATCTTCTGGAGGCTTGTATGCACCTAAAGGAAATTAAGCATTGAACAAAATATTTGTTGAGGGAACTTTGATGCTAAATATGCCTGATTTAGAAAGAAAATTCTCAATTTCTCCCAATCAACATCATGCTGCCTCGAAGACTTTGAAGTTCTCATTTTGTAGGTTATTTAAGAGTGTTTTCAAAATTTATATTTTTGAGACGCAGTTTATGAAAAAAAAAAAAAAAAAATTGGTGCGTTTCCACATCCATCATCCATGCCAGTTTGATGCAGAAATCACACTACAAAGTGAAATATCTAGAAACAATAGGTTATGAGTTTCCTTATCTCAGAACAGGGGTTGAATTTGGTAAACAGAGGGTGCAGGTATTCAATGCCAACTAGATAAGGATCATGCTCACATATATCACATGATTAATAATTGAAGCAATATGCCATAGGATATACAACATTTTATTGTCCAAGCAACCAATTGGAGAAGTCCATGTTTAACTGTTAGCTCCTCCACAATTATTCAACTTTTTTAAATCATGGAAGCAAATATGAGTGTGTTCATATAGTTGGCTGAGGAGGGAAAGGCAACTGCCACAATGGTAAAATTCTTAGTAGTTAACTCTGATTATCTTCATCAGTTCCAACCTAGTAGAACTGAATACAGCAGAAGACCTTGTATTAATTATAATTAGCTGCAAACAGAATTCTACATTAAATGCAAGCAAAAAAGATCTGCAGGTTATATACCGGTGGCTGATAAGTAAGTGGTGTAGCATCCCTGAGGTATGGTTCCGAACAAAAATATGTAGGACGTGCCTGACAGACAATGGGAATGTGATTTTATTAAGTACATATTTCAAAACTCATTCTTCATCAGCTGTATAAAAAAAAAATGTCAAGAAACAACAGAAAATAACCTGCCTGTATGAGCTTTACTGCTAGTAACTTCACATGTAATCTTATTATCCAAAATAAATGCTTACGATTAAGCAGCCATACAATCTTCTTGAGATTTGGCTCTTAAATGTACACTTACTGTTGAAGGAAATGTGGTTGCAACATTTTCTTGTTCCTGGCTGCAATTTTTACCTGAACATGGAAAGAACTATTTTTTCAGTATCGGCATAGATTGTGTATAATTTTTTGAATACAGAAAATGCGCTCTCGCTAGCCATCATAGAAGAGCATATTCTTGAAAACTTAACTATTTTTAGGAAGATGTTAAAGAAGGAATCTGTCTCCACCGCACAATCACTGAATTTAATTACTATCTATCAAAGAACCACACGGTAGTGAAAGAGAGAGGCACACAGTAATCATTACTTCTCTGGACTCAAAATTTTACAGGAAGAAAGAGACAATAAGTAGAAGAGTGGAATTTTGTCTACCCAATATAATCTCTTAAGCCTTAATTTTGTTCTTTTTCCCTAAGTTTTCTCACAAAATTGTCTCTTTATTGTTAATATCTACTTTGGTCTTGAGAAGTCACACCATTTTTCCTGAAACTCCAATCAGCTAGAAGTTAGAGAACAATTGTGCAATGTGAAGCTTAAAAGTCACAACTGAAGGATTTTCCTAAAACACGACTGTACTTTTTAACAAGGGCATATATATGACACTATAAACCCTTTCTATCCCAGTATCTACCACAGCAAATTAACATACATGAAAACAGGCCTCTTTTACATCCTTTTTTCTATAAACAAAAAGATTATTCTAAGAAACCAGAAGCTTTTAGGCTAAACAGGTGAATGAAAAATTAGGATAAAAGTCCTCTCGCATGGGCAAAGTCCTTGACATCCTTACAGTGCAGACATGCCTTCGCCCCTTCAAAGTAAAGTACTCGTCATTCTTGTTTTGCGCTAATATATTATAGCAATGTATTTCTCTCCCTTTTTATACCTTACATCTTCCATTTCAATACATCAAAATGGAAAAACAAAAAGAAGTTGCTTGAAATAAATTTCAAGAAACCGACTATCTTCTGGAAGAACACAAAGAAAGAATACCATCCACAGATTCCTTACAAACATGAGTATAATTATGAAAGGAAGGAGATATCCGTATTTAAAATATAATATGAATTTTCAATTCCTTCACATCCCTTTGAGGTAGCTAAACCACTAAGCAATTAACATTCCAAAAGTTCCATTCTATCATGCCTCCATAAACATAAACTAACAATGAAGATTGCAATTACAAAACAAAATATAAAAATAAGATATTACGAAACGATATGGAAATACTAAAATAATTATCTACTCCTGTGGAAAAGTGTGAATGCAAAAACATGGAAAGAATACATTTGACAAAAATAGTGGATGATTAAAATACCTGAATTTAGCATTCCGATAGTTATCATTTCCGTATTGGCATTACGTCCTCTATCTAGGTCACCACGTGCTAGTAATTTGCAATCTTTGATCCCCAAATGAGCGTTCGGTACCTTCATTGAAGTCATATTTGATGTGTTTTTTGGCAATGCATTTGGTGACAAAACATTGTCTCCAAAATCATGCCACCAATCTTGTGAACCATTGATATATAAATTAGTATTTTGTGGATCATAATTGAGCCGTTGTCTTCCATCTAGCTGTTGCTTCATGCTGCCACCTTAGTATAGAAAGGAACCAAAACAAAAATGAAAATCATATTAAGCTTTGGGACATAGATTTGACATCAGGATTTATGATGGAGAGACTTCTGCCATATCCTTAATGGTTCACATGAATTTAGTGATGTAAACATACATTTGCTTAGCAGCCAATAAATATAGTTTAAAATTTTAAAGTACGCACTTGTTGAAATTAGACAATCATTGAAGATTTTATCTATATATTATTATGCTTTGTAATGACAGGACACATTGTTGGGTTAAAAGGAAGCTTTATGTATAGAAATGTATAATTTGCATGACAAAATATAAAAACCAAAGTGATTATTATAATTATTGGTCCAAATATTCGACTCAACAAAAATTCAAAAAAAATTAGTACAAAAGCTGGCCTATGAGAATGTCATCTAGGCCTTCTTCCATACACGTACTAGCAACTCAACATGGGACAAAACTCAGAGACTCTCAGCAACTTTTCCAACATTGTGCATGAACAAGAGAGATATAGATAGGGATGACAATCAGGCTCGTCGACTCGGGCTGCCTGTGGCTAGGCCTGAAAGCTCGAGCCAACCCGGCTCAAGGAGGCACCGAGCCAAGGCTCAGGTCGAGCCCCATTTTAAGAAGTCCGCTCAAGCAAGGGCGGGCCATTAAAAAAATAAATAAATAATTGAGGGGGTTATCAATGCTGCCTATGGTGCTGTTTGGCAGTTATTTTGGCTGCCAAACAAGCAACTAAATAGCTACCAAATGCTGAGAGACGAAAAAAAAAAATTACAGAAAGTCGAGTAGGCTCGGCTCGATAAGGGTCGAGCCTTAATTTTTTTGCCGAGCTTTTGCTCGGCTCGGTTCAGGCAAAAAAAGCCCGCCTTCAAAAGCCCGAGCCCGAGCCGGGAGATTCGGCTTGCGATCAGACTCGGCAGGTTGACACCCCTAAATATAGAACAAGATTTTTCTAGCTACCCAAGAATTCAAGAGTTAAGCATGTCAAATATGATTAAAAGAAAATTTTCAAAAGTGCATCCATGGTTGCAATATAGAAACCCTTATTGTCAATTGGGATTTCATCAAGGTAAAGACCTCATTCATTTCCAATAATATGGGATTTCATAAGGTAAAGGTTTCATTCATTTCCAATAATAGTTTCATTATTTAAAGTAGTTACAAATTGATTTTCAATCTTTGCTTTATAGATTGTAAAATGCCATGTATTCATCCTTGGTTTTCATTATACAAACGTAAAAATATTTACAATTATCATATGTAAAGGTTATGAAGTACTTTACCAGTTCTATTTGGTGGTCTATTTGAATCACGAACATCACTAGGAGTCAGTTGCAAAAAACTTGTTTTCATTTGGAAAGATTTAAGCAAGGTTCTCCGTTTCATTAACTTCAATTTCTTCCAGTACTATGCTGTTTGAATCCTAATGAGATGTCATTCTTATACTATGAATTAGCAATATAAAGAGAACTGAGGAGATATAAATAACAGCTACAAAAAAAACTTCTAAAGCCAGGTTATGAACAGTAATAGTAGAATAAATCCAGGAAAAGGAAAAAAAAATTGAACGAAGCAAGAATTTCATACAGGATCAATTCAATTCATATGCTATTGTTTTTCTCAATGGTAGACAAGCAAATAATATTATGCTACTAAGTAGTAGGTTTCATTGTACAATATTCTTTAATGGAACCCATCAACGACAATCGATGCAAAGTAAGATCAAGATTTCTTCGATGGAAACAAATTTAATACCCAAGTTTAAGGTATAAAGCAATCATGGTAGTAAAATTTTAAAAAGAATAATAACTCTCAAACATGTGCAATAAATTAATGGTTTTGATGATCATAAAATGTCCTAGTGACTAGGTACGATCAGGTAATTTAACAATAGTACATCAACTTGTAGAATCAATAACACATTAATTAAAATAAGTAATATTTGCACTTCCTAATTAACAACCACTAGAAATTAGTTTGATACTAATTATTTTTAAAATATATTTTTTACTCTTTTCTTTTCAACCACACATTCTTCAATAAAATAAGACTATACGCAAACCCAAAACTTTTCCCTATTTTTTAACTATACAATCTCCATCAAAATATTATTTCAAAATACATTTTCATCATAAAAAGGGGGTCAAACAGGCTCTAAAATTATTACAAATCCCATAACTCACTTTAGCTTGTTGAGGAAAAATAGTGATAGGTGTACAGAATTATATAGTCCACATAATAAAATTATTTAGGAATATTCGAGGTGAATATTGTCTTCAAGCTCTCACCAAATTCCCCTGCTATATGCACGATGTGTGAAGTGATAAAAATAAATTAAAGACCTTTTCAAGTCGTCGAAAAATTGAAGAATGAAATATATAGAATATGATGAAAAATAAAATTTCGAAAGCGTATATGTTGCTTGAAAGTATGTTCCCTTTATATAATTGAGGGATTTCAAAAAAGTAAAAAACATTCATTTTACGATTTGAATTATTAAATATTCTAAATTTTTATTTATTATTATTATTTTTAATTGTTGCTGTAAGCCTGCAAATTAAATTCAAGTAAAAACTGAGAATAGAAGCTCAAACTTAAAGAACACTGAAAATTGAAGGTTTTTAAAATTTCATTTAACGTAAGAAAGATTATAACTGGGATGTACTGTATAATGGCCTTCAATTGATGTAAGAAAAGTTATAACTGGTATTTACTCCAATATCATCACCACAATCACAAACGGGTAAACTACTAATTAAGAGTGAGAAATTCGAGCAGACAAAAAATAGAATCTCAAAAAATACAGAATGGAAAAATTATTGAAATATTTAAACTTTCCCATCCAATTTTAATAAAGTACAAATATTAACAGAACTTACTTGATCTGAGTCGAGTTGAGAAGAACACAAATCTTCATGCAAATGCCATCCAATTTTGTAAGTGTATTCGTGGAGTATTAAATAGGAGATGAAAAATGAAAGAGGAAGTGTAGAAGGAGCAAAAGCCAAAAGGCAATCGTGAATGAATTGATGTGCAATATTGCAAGAAAATGACGATAGCCAAGTGTACGAATATTAATCAATCCGATGAAAGCGAGAACAACAGTCCACGCCCTAATTTTCAACTGATAATCTATTTGCCCTAAATTACTTTAACGTCCTTTGTGTTCGGCTGGGTTGGGTCCTCATAAAAAAAGAATAGCGATTATGGTACATGTAGATTCCAATTTACAAATTTATTTATCAACGGATGATATTACGAGATTTTGATTCAAAGATTTGACATATTGAAAATCTTAACCAACAAATAAAAAAAATCCTAATTTCTTTTTTTTTTTCTTTAACTCACATTACATACGAATAATGGTTTAAGTGTCGTCACCTCGTCAATCTATAAAATAACCTATAGATGGTGGTTCACAGCATGCATTTTTTCCCCCAAAAAAGTAGTATGTTGAATGTACTTTTGGAATTAAATTTATAAAAGAGAAAAAAGATTATTTAGCCTATGTTTGATACAGATTCACAATTTTTCAAAAACATATTGCACTATTTTTTAATTAAAATATACTAAAAATATTTCGATATCATTGTTACCAGTAGCCACGAATTTTGGAATATGAGTATTTGTAAATTGGCAATGTAGATCTCTTGTAAGTTGAGTGCAAATGCAACTCAAACCTACAATTGATAAATTTCTTCTCCATCTTTTTCTTATAATTTGTTCAGTATTTTGAATCAATTTTTTTTTAAATTTTAAATTAGTAAACAATAAAGTTTTCATTAAGTATTCAATCTGTTAAGTTAAGAAAAATGAAAGCAACATACGAAAGACATAGCTCGATATGAAAATTGTTACTACATTATTTATACTTTCCTCTGAACATACAAAAGAAATTTTTTGACTAAAAATGTTATAGCGTTAAAGTGGACTTTCTTTATCGAACTCTGTATATATATATATATAGTCTACTCAATTGGATATATCAATGTATTTAATTATCTTTTTGTGTCACTTTATTTCAATATTTTTATTAATTCTACATCTAAAGGTGCATGATGCCTAAAGATAAAAAATAATAATAATAAATAGTTCTTTATTAACTATAATAGGAAAAAAAAATGGATGATCAAAATAAGGTGATGATAAAGATTTGTGGACTGATAGTGTTTTTAACCTAAAAATAGAAAGAAAAGAGGGGTAAATTAGTCCTGATACGAGGCAGCCCACCATGATATAAAGGTCGAGTACGTGTCCCGCCAGTTATCAAGAATGGGCCCACAGTACCCCCTACCCTGCTTTGAAGGCCACGTGTTGACTCATTCGCCACTCGTGGGTGATGACTCAATGGGTAGATGACGGCGCTACACCGTTAAGTTACGGCGCTGTCGAGCATGAGCCGGCAAATTAGGCCTTATTGACTTTCTGACTTTCCAGTTTTGTAAAAGCATATCAAGAAGATTTATGTTTTTAGGTCATGTTTGATCAAGGTTATTTCAAAAAAAAATATTTTTAAATAACGATTTAATATTATTTCAATCACATATTTTTCAATAAAATAATATTACATATCAATTTAAATTTTTTTTTCATTTTTAACCACACATTTCTTATAAATATACTATTTAAAAATGCATTCTTATGAAAATAATGTAACTCAAACAAGACTTAAAAAGTATATCTTGCAATTTAGAAATCATTTACAAATTTAAAAGAGTAAAAATTTTAGAATAACTTAACACACTCTTTGTCCTTATATTTTAATTTTATTACTTTAAAAAATATTTATTATTTTTCTTTCTTTTATTTTCACTAGCTTCTATTTAAACTATTATATTATTTTCTTAAATTGAAGTATTATGAATGCATTTAATTATAAAAAGTTGGTTTGTTAGATAGCTAAATTCATTCTCTATTTTCATTGTTAATTTAAAAAGTATCTTAGAGAATAATTTTAATAATTGACTCTTTAAAATAGAGAACATTTTATGTTTAAAGAGTCTCTTGAAAATACTTTAACGTTCAAATTGTTAATAAATAATTTATCATATATGCTCGTGAAATACTTACTGAATTGGAGAAAAATACAAATAATCACAATAAAAAGTAAGAAAAAAGCCATATGACCAAAGCTGGGGATGGGAGTGGGTGGGAAAATGGTGCCCCTGTCCCCAATTCTAGCCAAGCAGGCTTGAAAAAGTAAATAACAAAGACAAGAAAATAGAAAATAAACAATCTCTGCTTTTGCCTACCTCATCATATCACTCCACTTTACGCATGTTTGATAAAGTTTCAATTATAATTAAAATAATGTATTTAGTCACATATTTTATACAATATAAATCATAATTACTAATGACTTCTTATTCATACCATTTGTTAGACCTCTTCTGTTGAGGCTTCAAAAGATGACCACAGTACAGCCACGAAATGAGCGAATACAGGCCCACACTTCACGTGACCTAATCAATGTGACAATTCGGTCAACTCCCAGAAAAAAGATGAACCCTCATGAGAGATCGAATCCTTATGAAGAGGATGAACCCTAACAGCAGGTCCGAACCCTCAAAGACGAGGCGAGGCGAGGCGAGGCGAGGAACTACAAGAATCTCCCTTACAAGATCTTTTATGATTGATTGATACAACCACTCATCGTAGCAGCCATACTATCAAATC